GTAGTGCTGATTAAATACTCCGCCTCTTCCCCAGGGCCCCCCCCCGCTCCTGCTCCGCCCGAACCCCGCCTCTTCCCACCCCAGCCCCACCCCCACTCCCCTGAAGACTCCAGAAGCAGTCAGGCCTGCACTCACTGGTAAGTGGAGTGACCCGGCCCCAGCCTGCTCCGCTCCCCCGGCTCCCAGCCGCACCACCGGTGAGTGCTGGGGGGCGGTTCCCCTCTGCAACCCCAGTACCCTTTCCGGCCTTTAACAAGACTTGCAGCCTGGGGGGTTTCTAGGCCAGAGCTCCCCATGGGGGTCAGGGAGGGAGCGCTCCCCAGCCGCACCTAGGGCCCTGCAGGCGGCCCCACTCGCAGCCCTGGTGTGGGTCCACTCCTAGCCTCATCCCCAGCCGCAGCCCCAGAGTCAGCCCCCAACTCCCAGCCCTGCTCCTGGCTGCGGCCCCGGTCCGAGCCATGGGTCCACTCCCAGCCACGGCCCCAGCCGTAGCTCCGACCCCGGCCTCAGCTCCCAGCCCCGACTGCAGCTCGGCTCTCCGCTCCCAGCTGCGGCTCCCAACCACGGTTCCTGGAGAGGGCCCAGACACGTTCCATTACGGGTAAGGGTGGGAATGATGGAAAAAGTTTGGGGACCCGCCTCAGGGAGCTGGCAGGGGAAGTGGGATGGGAACGCTGGAGTTAGCTGCAAAAGGGGGCTGGGCAAGGTGGAATCATTCCCAATGTGGCTACTAAGCATGAGCAGGGGGACAAAATCTAGGGTGATCATAAAATAGCTTCTTTACCAGCTTTGCGGCCAAAATCTCCACAGAATTGTTTCCACAGACGTCAGTGGAGTTCTGCCAGCTGTGAATTCAGATCAGTCCATTGTTTTTTAATCTATGGCCAGGTCTGTGCTAGAAAAGCTTTGCTACTCTAACTACACCGGCAAACCCTCCTAGAGGAGACACAGCTCATAGCAGGGGGAAAGTGCTCTTGCTAGTACAGCTTCCACCAGCTCCTTCAGCAAAATAAGCTACACTGGCCACAGCACTTTCTGGCTGGTAGAGCATCTACACTGGGATTTGCTGATACAGAACGTCTTCACAAAAATCACACCTCTCAGTGACAGTGCTGTACCGGCAGGAGTTTCGAGTGTAGACCTGGCATAAGAAGTAAATGCTGTAAATTCATTTTCAATTATGATGCTCTGATCAAAACCAATAACACAGTCGTTACCTCTCTACACCCTTTAATTCCACAGAAAGATTTGTTACAGTTCCTCCTTCCTTCCCCCGAAACACTCGCTTCTCTGAAAGAGCCAAACCCCCAAACTCACCCAGCCACGGAGACAGGAGAAGTGGCCAAAGCAGAGAGAGCCTTTCCAGCCGGGCTCTCATGTTCCTTCGAGAACCTTTCCCTGGCAGCGCTGTCAGGGGCCCTAATTGAGGAGGTGTCAGATCTGCTGCTAAAACAGCCGGTGCTCTTAGTTCTTGCAGCTCATTGACTGAGATAACCCCAGAGCCATTGTTGCACTCTCTCTCCAGGTCCCGTTTCCGCACTGTCCCTTACGAACTCTCCTCTGCTCAATGGTATTTTTATCTGCTGATTCATTGTTCCACATGTCAGTTTCCTGCCAGCATCCCCTGCCAACTTCCCTAGGGTTTTCTCACATTCTGTCTCCCTGAACGTTCTCAGATCACACAGTGAATTTAAAATTATTGCCGTTGAATTAATTTTTAAAACTTCCTCTCTCCTCTCCATCAAACTCTACACTAACCCGGCCTTTCAACGTTTGAAAGTATCAGACCAGCAATGTCCATGGCCCTGAATCTCCCTCGGCAAGGTCTGAGTCATTTCTATTCCAGTTGTATCCTCTCAGAGGGGGCGTGGATCAGGGTCTAGAATAACAATTATACTATGTAAAATACAGGTGTCATTCCCAAAGAGTGGTGCAGTGGGGTTGTAGTACAAAGAGTGAGCAAAATGGAGGGGCCGTTTTAACTTTGCTTTGGAAAATCTCATCAGGTTCTAGTCCCTTTTGCAAAACTAAACCCAAACCCAGCCCTGGGTCACACCCGAGTCCTATTTTATCTGAGCCCCCCCCAGATCAGGAAGGGTTTGGGTGGCAGTTCTGCTGTTGGCCCCTCACACTGACATGGTGCCTGCATATGGAAGGCCTGGGTAGCTGCAGAATTAAATCCATGATTAAGAATGAAAATCCCTGATACATGCCACCACATCCAGGAGATGTCAGACCCAGGTGCACAGATGTGATGTCCCTTCATACAAAATGATGCAACTTAACTCTGCACAGGAAATGACACACACCTGGCAATCTAAGTTTAAAAAGAAGAGTATGTTTTACCTAACGAGAAGAGCAGTGCAGTGTCCATTGGTAAATAAGCAATGCCCCAATGGAGGGTAAGCAAAGCACGGGGTCACCCCTGTGAAGGGAGGAGGAGAGCAGCTGTACCTGGTGTGATAAGGAATGTCCCTGGTGATCGTGTTTGGGAAGAAGACAACACCGTTGGCCATACATGTCTAGGTGTGAGCAATGCAACAGGTCTCAGCTGTCACAATGGAGGCAATGAAGTATGTCACACCTGCCAAGAGGAAGGCAATGCAGATGGGCCAAAGGAAATCTCACGGTACTTCAGACAAACTAAGGCGAGATCTACACTAGTGGCTGTATTCCGTGTCTAGGCGTGTGGTTGAGGAATCACCCGCCATTGTCCCCCCAGAAGCAAGTGTGCGCAGGCAAACAGAGAGTGAGGGAGCTAGGCCACCTGAGGGGTGCGGTGGTCATGACTCCAGCTGTGGCCAGGCCCCGTTCCCATGCCAACTGGCAGCATGGACGGGGATAAAGGGAGTGTACCAGGTCTTGAGTCTCAATAGTCCTCCAGTCCCACAATGCACTGAATCCTTTTCTGCCTGGTCCTTCCCCAATCTATAAAGGGCCGTGTCACCCGTTTTCACCCGTAGGTATGAATTGTGCTGACCACATCAGCACAGCTTTCTGCTGAACTCTTACTATCCACATACAAAGAGGAGCTGCACAGGACAGGGGTTTGGGGGTTAGGTCCAGGAAGGGGAAGTGGACACTAGTTATCTGAGGAAAAAGTTAGTCCCAGCAGTCCGCTCTCCCTTGGAAGATGACAAAATTCTCCTCTCCCTGTCCCTGGGGTCTGGCTTCTCCCTGCACTGAGCCATGCTGCACAAGGTCGGAAATGAGGGTGCGTAAGGAAGCCGGTCTGGCAGCTGGATAAACACAGTGCGATGTCCCTTTGCTATGGACAGGTGAGGGGCTCATGGTGCTGTTCTGAATCGCCAGGGAACCAAATAAAGGGGCCATGTCTCATGTTGTTAGGCAGGCACAGAAGCAGGATTTTCTGGTGATGCTGGGGCAGAGGGTGGTCATAGTTCACATTTTCCTTTGCATGGCAAGTCCATGTGCTTGATGAGGATATAGTCAATTTCCAGTCAAATTGCCTCCCAGGCCTGTAAGCACATTTCAACAAATTTGTGGTGTTGCAGCAGCTGAAGCTGGGTCTTGATGGTCACGGGCAGAACATATCTGCTTAGTCCACCTTCACAGCCCATCAAACCCCTCCATTCAGCGACAGGTACAGGGGTGACCATTTGCAGAAACATCTCTCTGGCATAGAGTGCTGGATCTCCTCCAATAGGCCAGTGAGGAACTGCCTTACAATCAGACAGCGAGAAACCCCCAGAAGGGGAACTGAGCTACTTCGTGGCCCAGCTGGGGCCAAAGTAGACCAAGCGGGCGAAACCTTTGCCTCCAGGGAGGAAGCCTTGGGGGTATGGCCTGATACCAGTGCTGGGACTATTTAAAGATTGCAGACACACCCAACCAGAAGGGGGTGCCCTTGAGAGGTGGTTGCCATGCCGTTACACACCGATGAACCCGTTCTTGGAGCAGAAGGCACACCATAGGGAAG